ATTAGAAAGTTTAGATGTCGACTTCGTTGATTTGCAGGAAATCCCAATAGTATTTTTTTTTTCTTTTTTTTAATAGAGAAAAAAAACAAGAATCTGCTGGTTAGGCTGAAGCTGGCCTCTTGGTAGAGAAATGCACAGCAATAGTAGATTAGACAGGTGTAGATTTACGTCATCGTCCAGTCTCCGGCATTATGGATTCCTTAAAACCATGTACAGTTTATTAGTGTTAGTTGTTCTTTGAAAATTCTTCCCTAAATGTATTACAGTTCAATGATATACACAGATAAGTGACCTGGATTTTTTTAAAACTTGACAAATCATATCACTACTGAAATGTTGCAATAAGACAAGTGAAAAATTAGGTATATATTTTATATAAAACAATTAGCATATAAGAATAAATAAGTCAGGTGGCCATATCATCATATTAATGAAAATAGAAACACATACCCTCCCATGGGATTGTTTCCATTATGCATCTGTTTCATCTTCAGCCAATCTAATCATAAAGAAAAGTATGTGATATGTGACAGATGTAGGTTAACATGGTTATTATATTACTTATTTCGTATATCACATCATTATATACACTGCATTCAATATTATAAAATAAAGCTGTTACAGTTTGTCCAAGTGAGGAATAAATGTAACCACTGTAACAGGGAGAGAGAATTTTACCCAAGACTAGATTTCCGAGACGTCACCAGATTACAAATCCTCATCAATATCTTCTTTCCTCTTATTTACCATCTCAGTTATAACGACTGTTGGTAGTACCCAGGCCTTAGGGCAACTCATGGACCTGGGCCCCGTACATTTTTCTTTATAAGGATCTAAGGGTCAGTTAAAGGATCTATTCATTCGTTACGTTATCCTCTTTTTTTGTCAATTTATAACATACTATAATCAGCACATATGAAATGATAAAAGAAATCAAAAGTAACCATACATCAATCACTGAATTTATACTACATATCAAATTACTGAAAGGTAGTAAATCAAGAATTGTAATTGCAGTTTGGCTTATATCACAATTACTTTTTAAAAAATCAAAATGTAGCTAGGTACTTTCGAATAAAAAAGTGACCTTAAGTCTGTCTTCGTATTCCTCTTGAAAAAGCTGTTAAACTGATATAATTTGTAAGAGTATAGGGGAAGGGGTAAAAATTGCTCTCCATCTTGTATTTATGAATCTATTGGTTGAGTATAAGAAAAGAAAACAAAGACTAATATCCATGTATTAATCTGGGACAGAAAAGAGAGCTTCTTAAACTTAAAATTTTAAGTATAAGTAAAAATTTTAATAATTTTAGTATATCTTAGTTATGGTAATCAAGAGAATTGAAACTGAGTATATTTAAACTTTACGTAAATCTCAAAAAGGTTATCATCATTGTTCCTATATTAGTGGTTATATAAAACCAGGATAGTTACATATTCATAAGATTTATTTATGAAACTATGTACAAAACAACTATTTCTACAAATAATTACAATTCACCTACACAAGTAGTTATACATGTTGGGATATTGTAACTTCCATCTTCTTTCTGACCATTTTCCATTATAAGAGCCAATAATCGAGACATATGACATACTTTAACATGGATCATTGATAGAAAATTCGCCGACGAACCACCAGTCTTATAGAGAGACCAAAGTCTTCTGCTTATAAAGTCCCCATACAGAGAAACACGACTTACTTCATGATACTCTTCTGTACATGGAGAAAACATTTCCAGACCTATGGCAGCACTTTCTTGTGGCTCGAGTCTCTCAGCTGAATATTGTGTAAGCCTAAAATGAAGATTGAGTCTTGAGTAGCTCTGCACAAGAGCCATGAGTACTTCATTCAACAACAGTTCTTCATCAATTGCCTGAGAATGGTACAATAAAAAAGCATCAACAACTGTAGACTGTCCAGCATGTAAAAGGCCTGGATTATCAAGAACTCTGGGTGGAGTATAATGCCTGCCAACTGTAATTAGTTTCTGAGGTAAGCATTCTGGATTGCTTACAACCTGTTTTGTAAAATATGCAGCAAATGCTTGCAAAGATCCACCTCCAACAAGGTATTGTAAATTACTGTCTGTATCACTTTCATGAGAGCCCAATGCAAAAACCCTCTCATCAATATTCACCCCACAGCCTTCTACAATAACTGCCTTTGCAAAATCTGGATTTGAATGTATTAAATATCCATGATCTTTAAAGTTTTTCAAGAAGTAATCATTACATGCTAATTCAAGAACTGCCAATCTCCCTTTTAAATAATAAGCTGTAGGTGAGACATTAACAAATTCCAACTCCTGATTAATACTTCCCAGGTGTATGTGGCTTTTGGCTTGGAATTCATATTTTGGTTTCTCAAAAAGCTTAAAAAGTTCCTTATCATATTCATGTGTTGACTTGTGCAGAACATTAGGTAACTGCAGAGCACCAATAACAGCCTTTTCTTCCAGGTCCCAAATCTCTTGGGTGGTGCTCTTCAACTGCTCCCGAATCTCTTTGCCTTGCCTTTTAAACTCTTGCATTTCTTTTACATTTTTATCTTTTATCTTTGCACACTCTTTCATCAGCTTTGCTACTGAATTTCTCTCCTTCTCTAGCTTTTCCTTCACTAATTCCTTTTCCTTCAACTCTGTCCACATCCTTGATAATTTTCTGACATCTGTGTCTAATCCCCGTAGCTTGACATTAGCTTCCAGTCTGCCTATGTCTTGGAAACATTTTGTAAAATCTAGATAAGGTGACAGAACTGAAAAAGTTGTTGCAGCTTTGTTCCCAGACACATACAATGCTGAGGTTTTTTGCTCCTTCTTAACAGTAGTCTCATTTGCATGTGAGGAAACATAGGCAGCTTTACTGCAAAATGATACAGCTACGTTTCTAAGAGTGTGTGTTGTATGTTTTAGGTGGTTTATACTCATTATCATTTGAACAGCCATCTTTCTAGTTGTAACAGAATGTTATAAAAGAGTCCACCGTTACTCCAAGTTCAAGGCTATTAGGCTAAGCAAAAATGAATAAAGAAAAAATATTCAAATTTTAGGTATCTCTGAGGTTTGTAATTCATAAAGTCTTGTTTTGCAATCTGTTAAAAAACACAATATTCAATTTCACACTATAAACTACACTGTAAAAGGGTATTTGGAAAGAAATATACCACAATTTAACCACAGATCAGCTTCATTACGGACGTAGCTCTTCTTCAAATGTGAATTCATCAGACTGCTTCTCATCACTTTTAAATTCTTCACTGTCCTCGTGTTTCTCTGCTAAAGACTTGTTTTCTTCTGCTTTTCGGAATTCTTCATCCAAATCAAAACGTCCAACAGGTGTTACTCCCTCAATGCGATACAACACAACATTCTCCTTCTTCAGCAGTTTCGCAAATTCTCGAGCTAGAAAAAAATGAAAGGAAAAATTAATCCATTAAAATAAGCACTGCAACATAATTTGTTGGACATGGGCACTAATAATCAATAGTCACTGAATATAAAAGATATATCCCAATTCTTTCTTTGTTCATTATAAATGCAAAATCTTCATACTGTGTAAGATCTGAGGAAAAATTACTCTAGAATAAAAACACTAATAGCAAACATATGAATTATGCATATATTTGCTATATAATAAAACATAATCAAGTCTCATTCTATTTTGGAAGGCAATCAATTTTCACACATTTGTGTAACACACATGTTAAAGAAGTTAGGTCTTCATAAACTCATATAACTTTTAAAAATAAAATATACAAACAATAAAAATAAAGTTAATTTCTAAATGAAAAACAAGCATTTTTTCATATATAGGCTATACCAAAGTATGTAACATAAGGTAACCCTTTCCAAGCCAGTTCTATATTATTAACAAAATCACAAGTCTGTGTTGCTATATATGTATATTAACAAATTATCACATTACCATACCTTGAGACAAGTCACTGTCTGTTTTCTTAATGCGTCCTGTATAAATCATATAAGCAACTAATCCAAACAAGTTCCATGCTATAAATGCATACCCATAGGAAAGTTTCCTCCTGAAATGAATTTCAAAAATTTATCATAAGATATACATAAAACATACATAAATGAACAAATTTCAGCATTCAAGTGTATGAATATTGTTATCAATTAATCAATTATAAGTAACAATTACCACAACTTTTTTTTTCCCAAGAAATATAGTCATGTAACATGCATTTACAAAACAAAGAAAGAAAGTTTATACCTACCTCATAGACAAAGCACGTACTTCAGGAATCTGATTTGTGTGCCGGCGAACTATCCGCCTAATGAACTTTGGCATTTGAAAGCGGATCATCACAGCTGTCAATCGTATAAAATTATATGAATTACAAGAAAGGATGTTTAACTGAAATTAGTACCTCAATGCGTGTGTACCATTATCCCTAGGAATAGTGATGCACACTATTCCTATGATTTCTTTTAGCTTGTGCTGTGTGCTGCTGTATCCCAACTGTAGAAGATGCTATGAACAAGAGTTAATATTTTCACAAAGCAAAAATCAAAATGCTCAAATACATTTGCAGTGTTAAAATATTCATTCTCATTTATATATATACATATTTTTTTTTTTATTTGTCACAATGAATAGTGACCATCTCCAGGAATGTCTAGCAACCCTCTACAACACATTTTTCTGATAACAGAGCTTGGCCTAGTTCATTGTTGGATGATAAATTGTCGAGGAGGCACAGAAGTTCTATCATTTCAAAATATTTGCAATTAATGTTTGCTGGACTTTACCATGAAATGGCATATACTTGTGTATACCTATCCTCACTAGACTTTACACCAAAAATAGCATTTAGCAATATTCAAAAAGTCTTTGCCTACCTATATTTTTTATCAATTTGATAAATAAACTTATTTTCAATCTGCAACAACTGTCTCAAAAAATAAACATCTTATAATTCCTCAATTCATTTACATACTCTACAGTTACCTTGTATTAAATGCATGTCTGGAACTGACATTATACACTTTTATGGTCCACAACCATTGCAAATTTAAGACAAAGGTAATTTTGAGGTCTACAAAATTGGTTTTCTTGAAGTATACAGTATTATGTAGCTTTTCTATGTCACAAATGATACTGCTACAACAGACATACTAGAACATTTATAACACAAAACAATAACACAAGACATGTATTTACAAATATCTTTCTGAAAACAATATAATTTTCATTGGTAAGAAATTGTGACCTGAGCAGGGGCAGGCAGACACCCTTTTTATATCATTTTTTTCTAAAGAGACAGAAAACTACAGGATAAATGTCTGACCATATTACTCCCTAAAATTGGATTATAATGCAGTATTGTGATACAAAAAAAAATGGTATGAAATGTATGAGGGCTTATTTAGACACACAATGTTGGGCATTGATACTGGAGGCCATCTATTTCAACTTCTGCCCTCATTTCTTGTAAAGCTGACAGATGTAACAAAAAGAATTAAACAGAAATATGTTAATAAAAATTGACAACTCTTAGAAAATTGCAATCAGAATTTTAACACTGTCTTACAATGGCCTATGAGCCATGTCTCTTCTTTTCACAAATGCTTATTCTTTAATTCATATTCTTGGACAATAAAAATCATTCCAAGTAGACTATCAAACCATAAGCAGTAAAAGGAAAAGCAACGTCCAACATAACAAGAAGATAAACCGATTCCTCATATTCTGAAACTGGCGATGACTTTGACTGGCCTTAGTGATAAAATCCACCATTAAAAAAATATCTATATGTAAGAATCCGTTCTGTTAACTGACGCATAAGTGAAACCCACACTAAAAACTAACAGACAATAAAACCATGTAAAACTACTAATCAGACTATGAACGTTACATTGATGTAGGGACTTCTTAATCAGAAGGTCTTTGAATAAGATAAATTTCTGCACAGCAAGGAAATGTAACATGTATATTAAATCAATATTTATCCCTTTAAATATCATTACCTACATGAGGGTATATGGTAAATTACAGGATAACATTTGCCGGTCGCCAGCTACCTTGTTTACTATGGGATAAGAACTTAAAGGCTTTAACAGCTGATAGGCGTGAGAAATAGACAAAATGGTGAAAATAAAAGGAATTATCCTCTATAATGAATATTATGTTAATGATTGACTATTTATTTTTCCGCAGATTAGGGACTCTAGCTTTATGCCTAGCAAAAAAAAAAACGCAGATAATCTTTTAAAACTAATGATAACGAATTTTTATTTATTTTATGATATATTGTAAAAAAAAACATACTAGAATGAAAAATACTGTTGGCTCTTGATAAGGGAAATAACTAATACTTTTGTGCTCGGAATCCTCACAAAAACATGTTGAGTTAAAACTTCAACAGCATGAGCAACTCGCAGTAACCTTCATTATGGACGTGTGGAACAAGAGAGAAATACCCAGACCCCCAGAATATACACTTAAGTATTCAGCAGAAGAGATAAGAGAGAAGAATTTTGGTAAATAAGTGTCCTATTATCGTTAATAACGTAACAATTAAACCACCCAAATGGAAGGGTTATTTGAGTTCCTAACCGGATAAGTTATGTATATTCAATAATTACCATTGTTGATTCTTACAGATATTTGATTGGAATATTTAGCTAATAACTTCCCAAAACAGAATTTCATCAAGTGGTTGCCAGACATCCATGTTTCACGCTCAGGCTAAAATTGCCATTAGGGAGCTGGAACTGTATCCTCAGTTGATGGTAAACTGCCTAGGAAATCTGCAGATTCGTCTGCAATATCAGTGGTTCCCAAAATAGTCATATATTTACATAATAACTGCACTAAGAAAGGGAAAATCTAATGTCACTGTCATACAGAGGGTGGTAAGTTACATTCACTGTCACTGATATGGGAAAGAATCTGTGTAGGCAAAAACTAATGTCATAAATGAAGAAAGGGTATGTTACCAAAGGCAACAAATAGAGAGAGGAAAATAGAGTGTAAGAAATAGAGTAAGATGCAACATAGTTTAAGCTGCAGCAGCCTCATCTTTACTAGTAAATGAAAAAAATGTCCAGTCTAGAAAGTTTACGTCTAAAATTTGTGAAAGTCTATATACCTAGGCACTGACATCTTCCAGATGCACATTTTTAAGGAAGATATTTGTCATCCATGCAATTTGCAAACTCTCTCATCTGGGGGGTCTGGGTGAGAGAGGTTTTGGGGTAATGCAGCAATGTTTACAGATTTCCAGGAGTGCCCCCAAGGTTCTTGGCTAAAGGAATAAGAATATAGTCTCAGAGGGGTGATTTCACTTGGTAACTTACCCTAGATTATTGTCATTGATGGCACCTAACTCTCTCACAGTAATTTTTGTAGTACCCTTTCTTTAACCCTGCTTCCCAACCCACTCACATAACTTTATCTCTATAGCAAATTGCATCTTCTCCTGTTCCATGAATTGCAGGAACTTGAAACATAAAAGCAGGTTGCATGTTCAAATAACTAAATATTATTACCTGAAGAATGAGAGCAACTCAACCCCTACGATTCAGAGGTTGTGACAATCACATCATGAAAAAATTTGGCTTAGGAGGCAGATGACGTCAGCATGCTGTCATAGGAAACTTTGGTTGTGGGCAGGGTGACACAAACTTGCGGTCGTGAGCATATCAGGTGAAGGTGGGGTGATAGAAAAGATTTACTAATTATTATTATTATTATTGCACTGAGTTATAGACTACTTAGAGAGATGATATAGAGTCTATGCAAAGAAAACTCTATTTCCATCTGGATAAAGCAGATCAAATGACAAATATAGACATAGGAAAAAGATATAATAGCTAAAAACACTTCTGCTGAAAAAGAGAAAATGATGCAATTTTACTACAAAACTTGCAGCACCCCACAATACCATGGGATCCAGTTTGAAAACCATTATGCTAGAGTATTTATGGTGGAGCTTTGCTGGCCTTTGCTCCAATGATCACTTGTGTCACTGAGGCTATCCTTTTCATTGCTTGATTGCCCTGTTTGTCACTTGCCATATGAATTACTTAATGTACCACTTAGTTTTGTTATGGTTGCTTTGTTAAGCTGTATTGTTTATTCCTTTGTATCATTGTTACCTGACTTTGGACACTTACCATATTTGTATTAATATGAATGTGTACAATATACCCATGTTTCTGTCATTTTCACTGATTACCTCACTCTCATTGCATGTCAGCACTCTGGCAAGATAGAACTTTTAGACTTCTCTGGCAATTTTTTTTTAAAGGAACCAGTCCAAAGTTGCTCTTGCCAGAAAATACATGGTGAAATCTCTGTTTCTTGAAGTTTGTAATCTCATGAAACTCATTCTTTAGTTTAATTTAAAAATTTAACTTTCATGATATGATTATAGTAATGGTTGTATCCCATATAGACCTTCTTGCACTTTGCAACATAAATATTTTGGGAGTCTTCAGACTACTTATAAAGCTATAATTTCTCAGAAAATTTTCTGTTATTGTCACTTTTGGGTATTTTGAAGAATTTTCTCTTCAGCAAGCATTTTGATAGCACTCTTTACATTTTGTGGGAAGTCATTTACATATAGAAAGAACAGGAGGGACTTGACCTATGAAGGCAGCCCACAGCCTACACATACCTTATTACCATTATTTCATATTTTGAAAAAAATCTAATTCTTTTTAGCAACTGTTTGGTTACTACATGTGATTTCAGTGTATGCCATAAACTTATATTGATAGACAGTATCAAATGTTGTTTGCTAACCAACAACTTAAAAGACAGCACCACTTAGTCTCAATGAAAATCCTAGTTGGCAACTGCTGACCTAAGCCCTGCCCCTTTTTTAATCATTGTTTTTCCATTTTCAAAGAAAATATATTAAGAAAACACTTACGATAAATAGGACAGATTATCAGGATTGCAAAGAGGGTGGGGCTAATTGATGTTATTGCATTTAGCTAAGGATGGTACCCTATGAGATATGATATAGCTAGATGAATAATTATTTGTATAAATTACTCAACATTGTTATAATTGCCAGCAGTGAAACAAAATTTTGACTCTTGTTTATAATAAGGAAGTGTTCCATACCATAAATAACCAGTAGAATAATCTTCAGAAAAGCCATTTCCATTTTTGAGTTCAACAAGCTGTACAGAAATGAGGCTGTTTATCCATTTATCCCCCCCCCCCTTCTCCCTCTCTTCGTCTCTGTTTCTGCATGTGTCTCTTTGTCTCTCTGTCTGTATGTCTCTGTCTCTCTGTCTGTATGTCTCTGTCTCTCTGTCTCTCTCTGTCTCTCTGTCTGTATGTCTGTCTCTCTGTCTCTCTGTCTGTATGTCTCTGTCTCTCTGTCTGTATGTCTCTGTCTCTCTGTCTGTAATTCTCTGTCTCTCTGTCTGTAATGTCTGTCTCTCTGTCTGTATGTCTCTGTCTCTTCTGGTATGTTCTCTGTCTCTCTGTCTGTATGTCTCTGTCTCTCTTGTCCTCTAGTCGCTCCTCTCTGTCCTCTCTCTCCTCTCTCCTCTCCTCCTCTCTCTGTCTCTCTCTCCTCTCTCTCTCCTCTCTCCTCTCTCTCCTCTCTCCTCTCTCTCTCTCTTCTCTTCTCTCCTCTCTCCTCTCTCCTCTCTCTCCCCTCTCTCCCTCTCTCTCTCACTCTCTCTCTCATCTCTCTCCTCATCTCTCTCTCTCTCTCTCTCTCTCTCTCTCTTCTCTCTCTCTCTCTCTCTCTCTCTCTCTCTCTCTCTCTCTCTCTCTCTCTCTCTCTTCTATCTTCTCTGATATTCCTACTTACTTCTTCTCATCTCTTCTCTTCTTCTTCTCTTCCGCTCTTTTCTTCTTTCTCTTCCTACTTCTCTCTCTTTCTCTTCCTCTTTCTCTTACTCTTTCTCTTCTTTCAATTCTCTTTTCCCTCTTCTCTTCTCATCTTCTCTTTTGACTCTTCTTCATTATCTCTATCTCCTCTTACTACTTACTCTTCTCTCCTCCT